CGATTCAGAATACAGATGCTGCGGAGGAGGATTCAGGTGTTCCACACATTCAGATGGACTGGATGTATTCAGGTCGCAATTGCCCAGCATTGATCCTCTTGGATACGACAACACGGTATGGGGCAATTTTTCCAGCAAGGAGCAAGGGTGTTTGGAGAGCTCTTGCAGAGTTTTGCGTGCGGTTCTCATTGGGACTCAATTATTTGAGTGAGGTGGTGTATGTGATGGATTCAGAGCCTGCGACTCTAGGACTGCTGGACATGGTGGTCATGGTGAGACAGGAGATGGGGTATCCGACTTCCAAGAAGGTTGGCAAGCCCTATCATAAGGGCAGGACAGCGCGTGTTGAACGGTACATACAGACTGTTCGAAGACAGGCAAGTACATTGATGACCAGTGTTGAAGATCACATCCATGAGGTTTTGCATGGTTTACATTGTTTGAGAGCTTGGTCATTGGTACATGCCGTATTCCTCCTCAACAGATTCCATGAGCATTCGGCAATCAAAGCAACAGCCTTCGAAACAGTTTTTGGAAGACAGCGCAATGGTAAGTTGTTGCCTTTTGGTGAGTTTGCTTTTGGGTTGAGAAAGCCGATGAAGAAAACTGGAACAAGCGTTTGGCAAGGAGGCATTTGGATTGGGAAAGATGAGTCAGACATGCATGTGTTGATCACCCCAGGTGGACAGTTCCATACCCGTTCAATCAGAAGGTGCTCGAATCCGTGGAGAGCTGATGTGATCATGGCGATCACGATGACACCTTGGACAAAGGCAAAGGGCTCAGGTCATGTTGGACTTTTGGAAGCCCCTTTGCCGGTGATTGAAGAGCGGGCTGAAGGTGAAGATCCCTGTGAACCAATCTTGTTGAAGACTGGAGACATCGACGAGGAGGGGGAAGCAGTCAGAGACCAGGAGTCCTACACACCAACAGAAGTTGGAAGTCCCCCAGCTGAACCGAGTGCGTTGGTGCAGGAACCTTTGGAGCGGTTGACGGAGGTGCAACGGAAGAGTTTGCTGGGAATCCCGATCATCCCTGGCACACCTCCGATATCAGCTGAGATTGAGGTGGACCAAGAAGGAGTTCCAGCGGAGAAAAGGGAAGGAGCTACATTGGAGGAGGACCGCGAGACCAAGGCGGCGCGTCATGACAGAGTTGAAAGTCCACAAGGAAGCCCAAAGCAAGGATTGTATGCACCATTGTTTGCAGGCAACGTTGAAAGCATTGACAATCCACATGGTGACATTTGTTGGGAACAAGACATTGATTGGGAAATGGTGGGCGAAGAGTTGGAAAGCATGGACATTGATTTCCATGGTGAGAGGCCACCAGATGTTACACCTGAGGAACTTCAACAGATTGATGGTGAGGCAATGAAAGCTGAAGTCGAGAAGCTCACCAGCTTGGGTGTCGTGAAAACCATCGACGAGACAGAGATGGCAGTTGAAGGAAAATTTATTGATTTGAAGGAAGTTTTTGATTGGAGGTTTAGGGATGGCCAGTGGAAGCGGCGGTGTCGCATTGTTGCAAGAGAGTTCAAGACGGGGCCATCGACAGAGGAGACCTTTTCTCCTACCTCCTCACATTCGGTTGTGAAGTTTTCCTTTTCTGTCATTTGTTCTTTGGTTGGAAGATTGCAAGCGTTGACATTTCGGATGCATACCTTACAGTCAAACAACAGGAGATTTGCTACGTGAAGATTTCAAGTTGGATTAAGAATCTCCTACGGTTGCCAGAGAGTTCAATGTGGCAGTTGTGCAAAGTTTTTCCAGGACAACGGAACGGTGCCCAGAGATGGTTCCAAGATTTTTCAGCAGTGTTGAAGAGGTTAGGTTTCAGCCAATGTGTGGCTATGCCTTCGGTGTTGAGACATCGAACACGTCGTGTTGTGTTGAACGTACATGTGGATGATGAGTTGATAGCAGCAGAACAGGCCAGTGACATTGAATGGCTGGTAGAAGAACTTCGGAAGATTTACAAGCTGCAAGTCGAAGGACCTGTACCCCGTGAATCTCTAGGAGCAGGAGAAGAACTGAACTATTTAAAGAAGGTGTACGTGTTCGCAGAAGAAGGGGTGTATGTCAAAGCAAGTGCAAAGCATGTGGAAAGCTTGCTTAGATTGTATGAGTTAGAGGGAAGGAAAGCAAAACAGGTTCCAGAGCATTGTTTGTTGGGACAACCGGACACATCTCCAGAGCTTGATTCAAATCGTCAGGCAGTTTTTCGGAGTGCACTCGGCATTGCTATGTACATGTCGCATGACCGTTGTGATATCCAGTATTGTGTGAAGACACTAGCTTCATCAATGAAGACGCCAACAGAGCATGCTGAGAGGTGTTTGGTTCAGTTGATTTTGTACTTGAAGGGTACGCAAGGGTTTGCATTCAAACTACCCTACACTCCTGTTGGTACAAGGTTGGCTAGCAAGTTGAACAATGCACCAGAGTTGGATCAGGACGACAACATCCACGTCATGGAGGTGTTCTGTGATAGTGACTGGGCTGGAAGCCTTTACAGGAAGTCGACGACCTCAGTGATGATTTTGTTGAACGGTCTTTTGGCTTTGTCGTACAGCAGGACACAGAAAGCAGTAGCATTATCCTCGTGTGAAGCTGAAGTGCTAGCATTGACATCTGGAGTTAGTGAAGCGATTCTGCTACAAAAGGTTTGGAAGTTCATGTTGGGACAGGAAGTTCTTTTGGAGGCGAGAAGCGATTCATCGTCAGGTCGACAACGGTTGCAGAGGTCAGGCTTGGGTCGACTGAAGCATATCGATGTTCGACTGTGTTGGCTGCAGGAAACAATTCGTGGTCACTTGGTGAAAGCATTGCCAATTCCAACGCAGACAAATGTTTCAGACCTCAACACAAAGAAACTCACTTCGCTGCGGAGAAAGTTCCTTTTGTCGTTTTTGGGAGCAACAAGATTGGATGAACACAACAATGTGGTTGAAGTGATTGGTGAACAAGAACAGGTGAGCTATTTTGCAGAGTTGTCATGGAAGCAGCAAGTCCGACAGGTGAACAGATGGTTGAAAAACAAAGCAACACGGCATTTGGTACAATGTTCATTGTTTGTTCAGGCCATGAGCTTGAAAGGTTGTGTTGAAGAAGAATCTCATCCAGGCGGCGAGCAAGTGAGTCAGCAGCAATTTGTGATGACAGTTCTCATCCTCATTTTGGTTTGGTTGTGCAATTGGGTGTACAACAACTGGGATGAGTTGGCAAGATATAGAAGAGCCAGAGCCAGAAAGGGATCGTGATGCAAGAGCTAGCGACGATCCTGTGCCAGAGACACCTACGACCATTTCTCCAAGGCCACCGCAGTTTCCTCCTATGCCCATTGATCCTCCAGCAAGGTGGGCAGTTTGGTCGCCGGAGTGGTTTACATATTGGATGTTGGGAAGAGTCCAGAGAAGAATCGATCGAAGAGGAGCAAACATGAGTGAAGAAGAGCGGAAGAAATATTACAAACGTCGAGAGATCTTGCAATCGGTGTTGAGCATTCTTGAGCAACGACCAGGAGAAACAGCTAGGAGACGAGCTCACAATTTTTGCAGATCCATGACAGATCTTTCAGTGGATGAAGAGACGGAAGGTGGAGAAGAAGTGCCAGAGTTGGAAGAGCCTGAAGCAGAAAGAAGTGACAGAATCATAGAGGAGAGTGATGCAAGAGATGGTTATTTTACCTCGAGTAATTTACCTGGAAGGAATTTTAGAAGCAGTTCATCGAGCGCATTTCCAACAACAGGTGCAAGTGCAATCTCGAGACCAGATCGGGACATGGAAACACTTGAAGATCAGGAAGAAGAAGACGAAGTGGAAAGCGATCCGGAGAGCGAAGATACTCGTGTGGCAAGCGAGGTATCTGACCCAGAGATGTGGATGAACTTACACCATTGGTCAGAGTCGGAAGACAGTGGGGAAGAACAAAGACCTCGCGGTTCCACAGACATTTAGATTTTCAGTGGACAAGACAATTTTGGAAGTTCAAATTTGATTTTTGTGGGCTGTAGTAACAGCTGAACCTACAGATCTACAGTTAAGCAATTCAATACAATTTGCATGGTTGATGGCAACATACGAACAACACACGTGCAACAGCTGAACCACGTGTTGTTGAGCACTACGAAAAGTACTGGTGAACCAACTGAACCACCAGGTACTACAACGAATTTACAAACAAGTTTTGTCGAAATAGCATTGAGACAACGCCAGAACGGACCATATCTTCGATATGTGTACAAAAGGCTTGGATGGCCTTTCCTAAACTGCTTAGAAGAAGCAGTATTCAACCTAGTGGCGAAGAGAACAAAATGTTCCTTGAACGTCTCATTTTGAGGCGGCGTGTCAACTTTTGTTAGGTCACTGACATGTATAGATGTGTAGTATCTGTTCTTATCTTTACTTCGCCGCGAAGCGCTGGGTTCAAAAGGATCGTGCTACCAAACAGTTGAGCAAACTAGACAGAACGAGGAGAGAAATGACAAAAATGAACGTATTCAACGACGATTTCCTGCGAGAAGGCGGTCGGTGGACGTGTCAAATGTCGATTCCACACACTTTGCCATTTTGTGACAATGGTATGCCCACTGAAGTTGACATTGCGAACACCAACTTTGTGGTACAAGTGTCAGAGTGTTGCAAAACCTCGAAGAATTTGTGGTTCCAATGTTTCTTTCCTGCGCCCAAGGATGTTGCATGAACGAAAAAGATAACGCAAAGGCCAGGGCAAGCCGTGGAAATACTTGTTTATTGACTTAAGACAGTCGTATTGATTTCCGCGCGTTTCTGTGACTTGTTTTTGGATTTCATTCGCTATTTTGTGCCACTGTCCACACTGAGGAGCTGTTCACACTGCTGAGGAAGCATGATGGATTTGTGTGAGCGAAAAAAGTAGGGAAATGGCGACCCGGTGGTCCACAATGCAGGGTTGCAGGTTGCAGAACCCTGTGACAAGACCGTTGTAGTCATGCAGCTAGGTTTGTCTGTGCTCAACTCAGTTTTGCTCAGACTAGGACTGTGCCATGAATTTCAAAAGTTTAAAGTTTAAACATTACCAATACTTAAAGTTGGAATTGCGTAGAAAGGCGGCGCCATGGCAATGCGTGCGAGGGCCTTGGCAAAAGCATCATGGTGCGAGAGATAGACCAGTTGACGTTTGAATGAATGAAACTATTATTTTCAGCATTTGAGGCGCATGCCGCCAGAATGCATTTGCATTCCCACATATTGCCAGTGCCTTTGCTTAGTCGACTGAGACTTGGTCAGTGTATCAGGACAGGCATTCCACAAAACAGGGTTTTGTTGGGGCAGATACGAGACATCGCACGATGGCAGGAAGTTTGCAGTCGATCCCTATGCATCCGAGGAGGATTTTCTGAGATTCACCAAACTACTTGTCTTCTTTTTAAAGCTTAGAAGCTACTAGGGGCTCCTGGCCATACGACTAGGAGCAAGAAGCTACTAGGGGCTCCTGGCATCGCTAGTAGTAGCTAGAAGCTACTAGTAATTCTTGGAGATGTCCAAATGAAGCTGCGCTTGAGGATCCTTACCGCCCCAGCTTTGGACAGCGAGGAGAGAATGCTCGTTTTTCGTATCCGACATGATGGACTGGGCACCAATAGCATGCCGCCTATCTATCCCCAATCCATTGCCTTGCGCATACATTTCTTCCCCATCGCTTCTAGGTTGGAGGGCATCGCTATTGGGTTGCAGGCCATTTACTAGTAGCAAGGAGCTAGGGCATTACTACTAGTAGCAAGAAGCCGTCATTCTGGTAGTGGTTGTCTGCGAATTGTTCGGGCTCGGACAACCTTGGATGGAATGGCGGTGATGTTTTAGTTTGTTGTTGTGCATGAATGAAGCGTTGTTCCCAGCTTCCGACGTTGCTTGGATGTTGGAAGCATGTAGACTAACATTGTGCTCTTTGCGCCATTGTCAGTAGTAGCCGAAAAGGCTTTATAATGATAGTGCGTTTGCTGCTGATGCTGGCTATCTTGTAGTTTCTGAGCAATGTGCTCTGACTTGGCCAGTGAGTACTCTGTGAAAGTGTTCGAGTATGTGACATGTGTGTGTATGCCGACGCTTGCTTCATCGCAATGCTGCCTCCCCTCTTGGACGCTGTCTTCAAGATGGCGATCAGGCATCGCTCCGGATCAGAGTGCATTGTTGTGAACTGCTCACGCCCGCGGCATTCAAGAAGGAATGCGAGTAAACCTTGCGTGTGGTATTGAACATCTTTTTGCTTGTCTCATACTACCGCCATTGTCATGCTTGTTTCCAGATCAATCCTGGTTAGGATCGGTGTTGTTGTTTCGCCTGGTCTTGAAGTCGTTTCGTATACTGGGATATTGCTGCTTTGATTGTCCTTCGTTTTGCACACATGGTGGACACCAACTCTCGAAGGGTAGGTGTCAAGTCTGCTCGTTTTTGTGCTGTTGGCTGTTCTTCCTCCATGTTGTATGTCATGCTTTCTTCATCAGTCAAGTCTGTCCGTTAGCTGTTGTATTTGTTCTCAAGTCTGTAGCCTAGCTCTGATGTTTGGGAGTTTTGAGACGGTCCGTGGTTTCAGGTGTACCCGTTTCCAGTATCCTTGTTTGCGCCAGTCGCTTGTTTGGTGTTTTTGGGGCTTGGAAAGCCGATCAGTGCTGTTGTCTTGGCGGATGTTCCTGTGGTTTCTTGTTACTACTAGCGTTCTTGCTCCTAGTAGTAAAGGCCAGGAGCCCCGTTCGTAGCGTCCGATCGCTCCTAGTAGCGATGCCCTTTGCTCCGTTCGTAGCGTCCTCTCGCTCATGAAGTCCGAAGACATCGCAATGCGCAGGCACGTGGGGAGAAAAGAACGTGTGCACGTGGGGAGAGGTACCGAAAAACTGCACTTTGAGGGTTTCTGTCATCCGTCTAGTCGGGCTCTGTGAGGTGTGCTGACATTTGTGGCCAGGTGTCCAGTCTAGTGGACTCAAGAAGGAAACTGGCAGCCAACTGTGATGCATCCCAGCGTCCGATCCAGCATCACCAAAAGTGATTGATTTTGTGGCTGTTTGTCAAAATTTCACCCAAAGCACCTCAATTGCCTACATCTCTGATGCTTTCTGATGTTTTGTACTTCAAGTCCCCAGCAGCAGAATGCTGTTCGGTTTCGATCTCTGGGATAATCGGAATCCTGGAACCTTAGAACCTGGTGTTGCCACTGAAACCTTGGAACCTGGAACCCTGAACCCTGGGCGCTATTCCGTCAGTTGTCAGGTGCTGTGAATGGCCTTGTCAGTTTCAATGCGATCCAAACGCGAGGCCCTGCAGCCCAGGAGCCCCTAGTAGCGTCCTTGTTCCTAGTAGCGATGCCCTTTCAGCGTAGAAAAGAATGCTTCCAAGGTGCACCAAAAGCACAAACGCTGTTGCCGATGCAGAAAAGCACCCCTAGGCACACGCAACTGCATGTGGCATTGCTGCGAGCAACATGCTGCGTTCCATAGAAAGAATGCTTTGTAGCGGCAGAAGGCACACCACAAGAAAACATGCGCTGTTCCTTGTGTTCCTCCAATCGTGTCTCTCCAACGCTGAACTTACCACACCGAGGCCATCCAATCATTTGCGCAGTGCTACTAGGAGCGACGCTACTAGTAGCGTCCTTGCTCCTAGTAGTAAGGCCAGGAGCCCCTAGTAGTGTCCTTGTTACTAGCGATGCCGGGAGCCCCTAGTAGCTTCTTGCCTAAGAAAAGCTCTTTTGCCAACTTACCTGTGACGATCACTCCATCACTGAAAAGCAAAACCGGCGCCCAAGCTCTCAGCTGCAGCGACTGGAGCCGACAGGGTCCCGACGCCATTTCCCGCAAACGCAAGTTTGGTGCGCCCGGGCAGAGGTGTGCACAAAAGATGCTTTGTGCACAAGATGTTTCTGTGCTGTCGCGCATGTGGTGTGCCTCTTGTTTCCGCTACCCTTTTCTCCTTCTATGCAGTCAGTAGTTTTTAAGAACAGCAGCGTGGCAGGTATTTGTGCGAACCTGGCAACCCGCTGTTGTGCCTGGAGCAACGTTTTTGCAGTTCTGATGCGCTTTCCTTCTTGTTGGACCCTAATTCCTGCTCCCGTTCTTGCTTCCCAGCTTCCTCTGCATTTAGTAAATGGGTTTGGGTTCGGGTTGGAGCTTTAGCAACACGTAGTTGGGGTGTCCACCGCTGATGTTTATGTTGAATGAAACGGGGTGAGTACAGTTATATGACGCATGATATTTTCTATTTGCCTGCTGATGGGCTGCAAAGCTGGATATATTTGTCCTGGAAATGTTGAGCTTTGCGCAGCCTGCGGCAGGAGGCCGCGCACCCCGGTTTGAAGGAAGACCATTCAGACGTGGCTCTGACTTTGAGGACATCTCGCACCCAATTTTGTTGTTGGAGCAGATGTCACAGGCAATCAATTGACTTTGGGTTGCTCTTTGGTAAGTGATTCTAAGAGCTGAATGGAGCCTGCAGGATGCTCGTGGTTTTCGAGACAGAAGTCGGCCTCTTACACCTGGGAAGAGTTCTTTTCGTAATTCGGCACGCTTTGCCTTATTGACGGTGAACACTTTTAGATGCAGATGTTTGGAAACGAACTGATAACGCTGTGTTCTTGCGATTCAGCCGTGTTGCATGGACATCTTCATGTCGGGTGAACATGCACATACCTAACTTCGCAAGGTACTGAGAGGGTCTATAGAACGGCAGGGATGTTTCTACCAGAGCCAAATCCACGCTTACCATGCAGCATCATTCTTTCTTTGCGTGCTATTCTTTATGCGTTTCCCGACCAACGTGGTCACAGGGGTTCTTATGGTAGTGGTTAAGACCGGGTGTCTGATCGAGGTGCTCCATCGGCACGCGCGGTAAATTCGCTCTTATTCACGGTGCGATCGAGAACTTCAAAGTGCGTGTCCACTGCGCAAGCTCGCAGAAACTGCTGTGCTGGAGTTCGCGCTATTTTCGACTGCGCTCGAGGGTCTTGTTGTGGCGCCATGCGCATTTTCGGGTTTGGTGGTTAGTTTTTGTGGCAGGTGCAAGGGCAACCTCGTGTTTTGGTGGCCCAATGTCGACAGTGCAGGAGATTGGAGCAAGGCAGGTGAGCCTTTATGTGCAGACTTTGTGGGAGGCGCATCGCTTTGTGGACCTTGAAGCGTAGATTCGTGGCGGGCGCAATTTTTTGCGAAACTCGCAGTGCAGATTTCGTGGTAGTTGCAGCAAATGTCCTGTCACATGTGCAGTCTCATGTGTGTGCTCTTATATTTGTGCTCTGATATGTGTGCTCTTTCGTTGCAGGCGCAGCGCAGACAACTCTATCCACCTCTAAAACCCTAGACCTATGGACCTAGGCCTTTTGTACGTTCTCGATCTCTAGACCTCTCGAGTCTTTTGGATCTCAACTCTTTAGGCCTCTAGACCTTGGGACTGAGACCTCTCTAGGTCTTCTCCAGAGACGTAGAGGTCTCCACGCTCTACACCTCTAGACATCCAGGATCACTACACCACGGATCTCAAGACCTCTACACCTCTGGATCTCTAGACCTGTAGAGCTCTAGATCCCCTAGACCTCAAACTCTGGATCTTTGGAAGCTTAGAAGCTTCATATCTCTTAAGAGATTCTAGTTTTTGGGATGTAGACCTCCTGACCTACACCTCTCTGCATTTAGATCTTTCTAGACCTCTAGACCTCTGGATCTCAAGATCTGTAGACCCCTGGACAAAACGGTGACAGGCAAGCGCAATGCCGGTCTTGCGCATGTGGGCGGTTTTTAATGAACGAAATCTTCCTAGTGCAACATGACTTCGGATGGATTTAACAAGCTTTCATCTGCAGGTCTCCTGCCTTGATTCCTGCCACTCTTCAGTTCTCTAGTGCTCCATGCTGGATTGATGTATTGATGTGATGTTTTATTTGTGTATTTTTCCATTGTGTTCTTTTTGTCGAGGTGATTTGACTGGGATGCCAGACCGCATGGGAAGCCTCGGTACCCTGCCTTGGCAATTCGCCATGCTTTGTGCGTTGGAGGGTGCCTTGTGTTCAGTCTAACAATGTGCCGCAGGCCAAAACTTGAGACAGCTGAATTGGCAAGAGGAGCAGTGCCTTGGCTGTCAAGAGCCAGATTTTGAGGAGACAGTCCATAAACTCGAGGTTGGTGAACATTCAAAAGCTCGGACCTCGGAATTGTCATTTTGATACTGCTCGAGCTGTCCATGGGCCACTATGCCCGTTTCAAAGCACGAGTTTGCGTCGTTTTTCAAGGAACTTTTACACGGAACACCCAGCCATAGCTTCAATGAGCGAACAGGAGGCTGTGCTTTGACTGTGAAAGATCGCATAACAAGCTGCTCATGGCATCTCTTGTTGTATGTGCAGAGTGCAGAGTTGTCTTCTCACAGGTAGCGGAAGCAATGAAGGCAGAGTTTATCACGTGTTTTTGCGTTTCAGCTTTAGCTGTTTGTTCAGGTTTTGCGTATTGACAATCTATAAGTCGCTCTTTAGCCCAGTGGAAGACGTGGAGTCAAATCTTACAATATGGTTCAACGACTCTTCAGTGTTCCTCAACAACATTCATATGCTGCCTCAATTGAGAAACAATATATTCGAGATGAACTTTGTGTGCCTTGTGGCACTGTGCAGGCCTTGAATGCAAACATAGAAGGTCGAAAACCTCACCCAAGGCCACAAATACTAATATCGTGAGAGGTAGGAAGAAAGAGGAAAAAGTGTCCTTGTAAGAATGGGCAAAGCCAAGGGTTTTCTTTGAGACAAAGACTAGCAATGCTTTTTTTTTCTGGTTTTGATTCCAAAGTGATGTCCATTTCCACAGTAGTTGCGGCAGCCTGTTATCATCAAAGGTAAATGGCATGAAAAGACTTGCTAGTACCTTTGTGTGCTGTTGCTTCGGTTGCCTTTCTTGTTTTCTCTTTTCCAAGCCTGCAGAGGCCCGTAAAGAGCTTCGATCAAGTAGGAATGCCCGAGGATGTCCTGGAAAAAGCCTGGCTCTCATTTCGGCTCAGGCTTTAGACGCTACTAGGGGCTCCTGGCATCGCTACTAGGAGCAAGAACGCTACTAGAAGCTCCTGGCCTTACTACTAGGAGCAAGAACGCTACTAGGAACAAGGATGCTAAAGCTGGAGCCCAGAACTGACATTCTTCAGAGCGTAGCCTGAGGTCAAGGCTGCTGGTTTTGAGGGACCCACTCCGATCCAAGCCATCGGCCACAGTCTGAGACGGCGCTAACAAGGTGCCTTGCTGTTACTAGTGCACCTTGCTACAAGTACCTTACTACTAGTAACAAGCGCATCGCCACTAGTAACAAGTGCCTTACTACTACTAACAAGAAGCTATTAGTAACAATAAAGCTAAGTGCGTCGCTAACACAGGGAGTCTATTTTCGGCACTACGGCCGCATACTGCCGTCCAGCATTGCGGGAAGAGCCAACTCTGGGCGTGTTTGTTCGCCAAAATCGTTCTCAAAGGATGCTCTGACCTACAATTACTACCAACTCTATCTCTTTTCTCTGCCTCTGAGGCTGTCACTGCCTTTTTTCAACTATCTCTGCAATATTGTTGATTCACCCGAATGCACATATTGCTTTATCGAAGATAGTTAAGCCATTCAAGCCTCAGCATTTCAACGCCAAACTTCTACAAGAGTCGTGCTGTCAAGCTCAGTTTTTGCTGCCTTGGGCTGCCAAAATTTCATACCGCGGCTTGCCTTCAGTTGCTTGAGAGTGTTATGTTGACGTGACATTGCCTGGCCCTGCGTATGTAAGCAGTTTAACGGAAAAAGCCACCTATGAACGTATCTCGCTGCAACAAATTCAATGTGAACATGTGATGGGACAAAGCTTGCCAATTTCTTTGCCAGTTGGCTGTTGTTTTCGGATTGGTTGCCAGTTTCATATACAGCTTTGGCGTTTGATTTGAAAGACATTTCGTACTGCTCTACGTGTTTAATCAGAAAAGGCGTGTTTCCTTTTCGTTTCTCAGGCTGGCCCACTGCCTTGAGTGGACGAGACATGGTGGGTATTGCCCAAACGGGCTCAGGGAAGACCTTGGCGTATTTGTTGCCGGGTATCGTCCATATAGCAGCACGGCCCTTAGAAAAGAACGAGAGTAGAAACTAAGGAATTTGTTTTCTTTTCTCTTCTCAGAATCCAGCAACGTTGTCTTACTGTCTCCCGTGCTTCTAGGCGCAACCTCCGCTGCGTCCTGGAGACGGTCCTATTGGCTTAGCGTGAAACTTAGACATCACAAGAGGCAAGAATTCAAGAGCCCGCCGCTGCAGATAAAGTTCTTGGTTTTTGTCGGGTGCCCATCACCTGCCCTACCTTCTGAGTGAATTAGCAAGGACACCATCCATCCATCACACTCTTCCCGTATCAGACTCGAGCACTATTTTTGTCCAACTTTGTTGACGTTCCGAACACCGATCCGCCCATCCATCTACCCATCCCCCACGCACCATATACCGTCCCATCGCTTGGACCGTCTGAGAAGGCGATGGAAAGCCTCCAGGGATTACGCTAGTTGAATTCTTGTTTCTAATAGCTTCTTGTTACTACTAGTAAGGCACTTGTTACTAGTAGCGATGCACTTGTTACTAATAGCTTTTTGTTACTACTAGTAAGGCACCTGTTACTACTAGCGTGGCACTTGTTTCTAATAGCTTCTTGTTACTACTAGTAAGGCACCTGTTACTAGTAGCGATGCACTTGTTACTAATAGCTTCTTGTTACTACTAGTAAGGCACTTGTTACTACTAGCGTGGCACTTGTTACTAATAGCTTCTTGTTACTACTAGTAAGGCACTTGTTACTA